TATTGTAATCTTGATCATCTATTCCATACAAGTGGATTATAATTACCAATCTCTACCATATTCTATTTGAATAATATCGCTCCCCTGGTAGGAGAACTGCTTATTTAAAAAAATAAAAAAACCAATTAATCAATAGATCAAGCGGTCAATTCCTGACACAAAATGGTAAAAAGAACTCCCAATTTGGTGATGAAAACATGTAATAAACAGGATCCGTGCATTTAAATACCCATAATGTTTATGAGATATTCAATTTCTGTACATCGGATCGCTAACATGAGATCGGTTTTGAAATACGTTCCTTATGACGTCAGTAATTGGAATTAGTCCTCGGTTGGCGGAATTATTACGCGAGCACGCCACGACAAAATTGAAATTGAGTTTCAAGATAATTTTACGCCTCAGTTATTCAAGCGATCACCGTGGTGCCTCTAGGTATTGGACACTGCCTTCTAACCAGACAGCCAACGTAGATAACCTGTCAATTATTGTTTGGATATGCCAAATTATCTATTTTTTTTAGGCTTATTAGCGTCAATGAAACGCCCTCTATGGCATCATCGTATTTAGTTCTATAAACATGGCAACCGTTGAGGCAAAACAAATATAAATAATTAATTCGATTTAAATAATGCTTGTATATGACAAGCCAAATGAAATTTAATTTGTATTCATTGAGTTCCTCGCCTTTAACCAACCTGCGATTGGCTGACGTGCAACGCGCGTACATTCATTTGCATCTGTACGTGTGTTTGCTAAAGTACGGCTCGGAAATAAGCCCGGAAAAAAAAACAACAAAAGATTCTAACCTAGAAGTGGTGGAAGTTTATAGACCCATGGTTGAAGTATGCTTGTAGTATTGAATAACGGCCATTCGGTGACCTTTTTATGGAGTGAATGGAATGCATGTATTACTATTAGCACAACAATTATCCTGTGTTCATATCCATCATCATATCATATTTTTAAAGCGACAGTTTCACTACCTCGTTCATGATATTCTGAGCGATCGTTTACGAAGTGACGCTACGTGCTGCAGGTGACAGCCAATCACACGATATTTAACATGCATATGATTAGGGATACAAATACGTTAGTTTGTGGTTTCAAATGTGCATGAAATGTCTATGGTCATGGCTTATTAGTATACAATTTAAGGTCACCGTATATATAGTCTGCAGCTTTATAGAGCGATATCTGTTGATCTTAACGGTATAATAGTGAATACTGTAATATAGTCTTTAAAAAAAAATGTGATAACATAGCTGCAGACTATACAGTTCTGTAAGATGTGTTTGTTTATTTTCCCTTTTTGACATAGGCATGTGCTATTGCAACTAAAAGAAGGCGTAAAGCCAATGATTATGCAACGGCATTTTGAACCGATTTAATACGGTACGACGGTATCAATGATGTGGTGATGGCGTTGCAATTTCAACGAGTTTGCTAAATCGGGTCAGCAGGTTATTATAGGCATACGTGTGTGCTGGTTGATTACTATTAATGCAAAATGATACGGCGTCCACACGGATACAACATTGTCAAGTTGACGAATTTATCGCAAGGTTTCGATTCTTCTGAAATGTCTCCGAGCTGTCACGCAGAACATCGCCCAAAAAACTACCGATTGAACTGTGTAACAATATACGAAACCTGAATAACAACTAGCATAAAATATTATAGAATTAGTAAATCTGATTACGCCGATGCAGATAATAAACCTACAAAAGAAATAGGCTTAGGCCCTATGTGTGTGTATAAAAGCCCACGATAGGTTCAATGGACTTTTTCGGGATGTCAGTCAAAATATTTATATCATCTCAATTATAATTATCAATTCACTATCTTTACTATCTATGAATTTGTTACTGTATCATCATCATCATCATCATCATCATCATCATCATCATCATCATTATCATTATCATTAATATTAATATTATTATTATTTATTATTATTATTATTATTATTATTATTATTATAAACCATTTTGTAATGACAACACATAATTATGAAATAAATGCTATGAACCGTGAATGCGTTACCAAATCAACAAATTATTCTATGTGTAACTATTGGTTCCACGCGACATAGCCTATGACACCAAATCACTAAGCGCTTATATAGGTTTACATACATACTTTGCGTTGGTTTTCACTCACCGACCACAGAGCGCAATCGCCGAAGCAAAAATCGATGCTAGATAAAGAGCCGATAGATTTTAAAGAAGCCTTCGAATAAATTCTCCCAAGTGAAATCCCACCTAAGTCAAAAACACATGATAATATTAAGGTTGTTGACGCAAATCGGGTTTTACCAGCTGTCGCGGATATGAAGGGCTCAAGACCCGAAACGTAATATTATGAACATGGGTGACACATGTATGAGGCATTATGTAGCCTACATTTAATGTACATCATTATATTAATAAAATAGAAGGTTGAGGAAATAGTATCATACTTAATGCATGTCACCACGAGGCTATAGACATTCGTCGGGTCTATTATTAATATATATTTATTTCAGAACATAACTAATGTAAACCTCACAAACTATAGAGTACAACAAATGTGAATCCTAACTCTATTTTCACTGAAAAGTAGGCCAACGTAGGTCTATAACTATCTTTACTCAAAATCATTATATCTATTTGATGTATTTTATATTTCATTAATGTTTCTGGTCCTTCGCCTGTAATATTGCATATTTATTTTTACTCTCTTGGGCATTGGATGTTTTTGTTAAAGTTTATCCTCTGTATTAAATCAGTGTTATGCTTTGTTGTAGAGTCAGAACGTGTTAGGCTTGCGTCGTTCATTTTCTCTACGTGTTGACCAATTAAATAATTGTTCCGTCCCAATAGTTCGTTGTGGATTTATCGACAGTTGTTTTATCTTTGACACATATTTGTTTGCGGAGTGTTGAATTTAGGGCTAAACCCATCAATGACAATTACCTTCTGCACAACCTATAATTTGCAATTCATTCAAAACTCAACATTAATGTAAACATATGGTTGCTAAACATATTAACAATCTACGGTAGACAGATGAAAAGTACACTGTACGCATGTTTAGGGAGGTGACATTTTCTAGGACGCCTGTCTTGGTGTGATGTATACGAACATTATCACGAGAGCGATTGTTCTTGCGGTGAAAAGACACACTTGTTCCCGAATATTGACCAAAGCCGTATCGTGTACATTGTTGAAATCGCTAAGAAAACTGTGGTGCCTAGACCAAATATTCTGAATCAGCTTCCTATTATTACTGACTCGATCATTAAAATAAATTTACTTAGGAAAGTAATTATAGTTAAAGTCAATTTACTTAATGGACATTGACGAACGGTTAGTGCGGAGTCTAATCGAACTTTAACTGAAGTCATATCGGCAATAAACATCGTGACGGACGCGTGAAAAATGGCTTAGCGTACACTCAAACGCGTTCACTTGGATAATAGCCACTTTAGAAAAGCGAAGCCTGATGTAATTCATTTATCAATGTCATAGAGTTGGCGTATAAATGGTGAACAACTAACCAGATATTCATGACTTAAATTGTAGTCTCACAAGGTATTGAGGCTGTATTTGTCCTTTTGTGCTAAAATGTAATCATCCTGATCCTACCATCTTTCGGTTGGTCGTGAATCAGCGCGTATGCCTAGTCTCATTTACATTGATACTTACCGTCAAGATGTACTGTATATGCATCACTATGCTGTGAACTCTTGATGATACCACTTAAATTAAAGTATATTTTGGATAAAGTTGCAGTTACTTCAAGGCATGCTACCATTAGGTATTCGAATAACTAGAAAAATCTTACCGTAGGAAATGACTCACCCTGCATTTATTTTTCAAGCAATTTATTTTCACTTATTGGTTATTGTTATTTTGCGCGACAGAGAAACCTTCTTAGATGAAATCAAGTGTTCAATTTAAAGTTGTTTTTCACCAATACACATTACTTAAATCACTTCGTGAACCAATTCTACTATCACCATGGTGACATCAAAATAAAGGATTGCTTCACGAAACAACACACATTAGCTACTGGAACACACACGCTAATGATCGACTTTTATGATTATAATATGTTCCGAAATTTACCGATATTTCTTGACGTATAACGAGTTACCCCGAATTCTTCCGAGTTATTACTATTCTAAAAATAAGCCAGAATAATTATTTTGTTTAATTGTGGTGGTGACTTTAAAGGCATGCGCAAGGTAATTATTTGGGTGGCATTACAATTTGCCACATGTTGGCGAATGTTAATGCGAGTGAGAATTAGGTTTTAAGGCTACAGCAGTTACACACTTTTAAAATACCATACCGTATAAATGACCTTCTATTCGGTGTGTTCTACTTGATAAGTTGAATACATTACGGCGTTGCTTCTACTTAAGACTGCTTCATTAGCTCTTGCATCAAACTAGACACACGATATAATGGGGGGTAGCGATTGAACACTACTGTTAATATTATCATAAATATTTGTTTTTATGGTTTTTTGTATTCACTATTATAATAATGATTGTAAGTCAATCGTGACGTCATCACAGTAACTATTTTCCTATTCCCAACCTGTACTAATTTTTAATTAGTGCACGGTTTGCTCGAATTGTTTTTATATGTTATTATCATCACTATTATAATAATCATTATTGTGTAATTATTATACATTATAGATATTACATTATCATATAATGCTTACCATTATTGTTTTGATAATTACCATATTATATGTCTTAAATAAAATTAATTCATTTATTTTTATTCTAATAATTTTAATTTTTGTTTGTTATTGTTTTATAGCAATAAAGATATCATTACCATTGCTCTATTATTATATTATTTAGTATATAATAATTCCATAGAAATACTAATGGAGGTCGTGGGTTCGATTTGCAAGTATTCAGTACAATAACACGTCAATTTATCATTCATAAGTTACATACTTGTTTGTTTTATTCTTGTATTTGTTTAATTTTCCAGATCGGTCAAGATGGAGGAGTTTAGGAGCAGGTTATCGACAGCGACGTCCATAGATTCACATGTGAGTGATCAGCTGTTCTATCTATAATATTTGTATTATTAGTATAGAGGTAGATTGGTTTTTGCTCCCATAAGTCCAACACCTCATAAAAAGACTATGTATAGGCTATACATATACATGAACATAATGTAATAAATCGTTAGTTAGCATACGATCCCATTAGCTATGGAATCAAGTATTATAAATAAATTGAAACAACACATTCGAAGAAAATAATCAATAGTGAATCGCCAGGTTTTCGCACTTTCGTAACAACGCAAATCATATTATAATAAAAATCATATCACATGGTATAATGTCTTGCAAGATAATTTCTTTATAGACCTACCTGAATATTAGCGGATCAATGGATCACGTGATGTCAGGATACGAACATCTGAACTATGATTGGCTTGAGTGGTTTATGCCTGTATTCCAATATCTATTTTATGCGGGTTTTTCTTTTCTTCTAATATTGCTAGTTATTTCATAGTTTATTGTCTATCGCAATATGGAGCTTGTTTCACAGTACATATCTCCCTCTAACTAAAGTCCATGCAATTAAAACCATCTCCAATTAAAGACCACTTTTCTGTGGTCCAGTTTAACAAATGTCGATTATCTTTATTACTCGAATTAGAGACTGCTAACTAAAAACTGCTAAAGACCATGGAAACATCGGTCCAAAAAGTGGTCTTTAATTGGGGGGAGACCTCCTGTATTTATATTATTATAGTCATTAAAAAAATTTGGAATATTTATTATATTATTCAGTGTTGTGCACAAGTTCCTCTAGGATTGAGGTATGTGTGAATGGAATGCCAATTATCAACACATTAATTAGCCAATTCTTCATTATGGATGATGATGATGATGATGATTAATTATATCTGTCATTCCACAACAGCAGAAGAATTATCTAACATCGGACGAAATCAACCACAACAATCTTCGACGTAAGCGCCAGCTACACGCATGCACTATCCTACACTACTCACCTTTCAAAGCCGTCTGGGATTGGTTCATTCTGTTGTTAGTACTCTACACTACCATTCTGACGCCGTACTCCGTAGCCTTCCTCCTGAAAGATGACACGAAGCAAGCGAAACTGAACAAAGAGCCCGATACACGTGATAGTCAGGGACCCTCATCCAGTTACACCAACCCATTGATTATTATCGATCTTATAGTCGACGTTATGTTTATTTTCGATATCCTGATAAACTTTCGAACTACCTATGTTGATGATAATAAAGGCGAAGTAATATCAAACCCCTATGATATTGCGGCACATTATTTAAAAGGATGGTTCTTTATTGATGCCATGGCGGCAATACCCTTTGATCTTATACTTTTTGGAGCTTCCGTTGATGAGGTCAGTTAACCTTTCATTAATAATGAATAAAATGATATTTGATCAAATCTAGGAAATTAAATTAAATATTAATTGTGATTAATAACAATAACGATAGCAATAATACTAATTAATGATTAATAAACAATACGATTTATTTATTACTTAGGGCCTATTATTTGAAATGATTTTAGCGTATCAACAAATATAATAAAATAAGAGCAATGACATATTTTGCTTGGTAATATTTATGGTCTCGCGGAAAATCATGTTTCTCTATGAGGCTAGACCCAAATAAATGTGACTGTAGACTGCAAATTATTGAACAGCAGCAGAAAATCCTGTTTCAGACCTCCGAAAGAAAACTCGCACCGTTTGCCTAGGGTATAATTCGATAGGTTAATGTTATAGTTTCATGGCTTACTAACACTATCAAATAGATACAATGCAGCACGCCAGTCATAATGAGTAAGGGTAATAGAAATGAGAAGGATCATAATTAATATGATGCACTGCATACGACACACTACATATTGCATATGAATATTATTATAACACTGTGTGGAGATGAGGCGAAAGGTATTACGGTACGTCTGGGCCACTTTAAGATGTTCCACGCTCCAGTTAAGCAGACGACCGGCCAAACCAACATGGGATATCAGACTAGTGTGTTACGTGTATGTCAACAACACTTAATTAAAGTTTCGTTAACCCTGATGAGCACTTTGTAATAAAATTGATTTCTATTAGGCCTATGTATTTATGCTTTAGGATATAGTAAATAATAAGATGTTTTAAATTCTCAAAGGTATTTTGAGGGTTATTTGATTTCTATTACGTGTACCGTAAAAAAGAAAATCGTCATTTTTAATACGTTTACAAACATCTTTATAGATTGATTTCTTCATTTTCCCCCAGAAAACAACAACTACTATGGGATTGTTAAAAACTGCACGTCTGCTAAGACTATTGAGAGTTGCGCGAAAGTTGGACCGGTATTCGCAATATGGCCCAGCTGTCGTTTGCCTCCTAATGCTAACCTTTGCCCTGGTTGCACATTGGATGGCGTGCATTTGGTACGCGATAGGAGACGCGGAACGAAGCAAGCAAAATTACTCGGGCTGGATAGCCAAGTTATCCAAAGATATTCAGGAACCTTATACGGTAAACTTAATTATCACACAATAACAATTATATGTTTTCGATAATTATTATAAATTATATATGTATTATATATGTCTCTTATACACATCTAGATGTGTATAAGAGACAGACGTTATGTTTATTTTCGATATCCTGATAAACTTTCGAACTACCTATGTTGATGATAATAAAGGCGAAGTAATATCAAACCCCTATGATATTGCGGCACATTATTTAAAAGGATGGTTCTTTATTGATGCCATGGCGGCAATACCCTTTGATCTTATACTTTTTGGAGCTTCCGTTGATGAGGTCAGTTAACCTTTCATTAATAATGAATAAAATGATATTTGATCAAATCTAGGAAATTAAATTAAATATTAATTGTGATTAATAACAATAACGATAGCAATAATACTGATTAATGATTAATAAACAATACGATTTATTTATTACTTAGGGCCTATTATTTGAAATGATTTTAGCGTATCAACAAATATAATAAAATAAGAGCAATGACATATTTTGCTTGGACATAAATTATCAAAGAAAGGTAAATACAGTGTTCGAATAAAGGACATAATAATACATCGTGTAGCATAGCTCTCAACGAATGTAGTCCTCAAATACCACCAGATACAGCCTAGCACATGATTCCCCTTGTCTCAATGTATAGATAATGACTAGGCTAATATGAAGGAAGAAAATGCTTTTACAAAATTCAATCAATGTATTACCTGTACATTTTAATAACGTCAATGATACAACCATGTTATGTTATGACTAATAATAACTTGTTTTCATCACATAACTACATCAGCTGAACTGGCTTAAGGAGGTTTATAAACGAAATGACTCAACTAAGCTAAGTAAAAACACAAATGTGGGTTAGAAACCAATTGAATTGCGTTAGCAGAACGAGTAAACATTACTCACGTTAACTAAATAACTAAACACGCTGACCTGTGTTAACTTAATTACTTAACAGGTTGACTTGCGTTAACTAAATTACTTAACGCGTTGGCTTGCGTTAACGTAATGAGTTGTCAGGTTGAGTAACGTCAAACGAATGAACCAAACTAAGCTGACTGTGTAATGCGTCCCATAATCCCTATCTTACAAACGGATGAAGCTGTACCGACTGTTGAGTCTATATTTTTTTTTTATACAATTCTCTTAGAATGAGTCGGAGAGTGGGCCGTCGATGGAAGCGCAGTATCTGACGGCGTTATATTTTACACTAACCACTTTAACAACCGTCGGCTTTGGCAACGTGTCGGCAAATACCGAGGCTGAGAAGCTATTTTCTATCTGTATAATGCTTCTGGGATGTAAGTATTAAATTTTCAAATCAATGTAAATTGTTCCATACATACAATTTTGTACTGAATATCTATTTGACACATCTCGGCTGATATCAAACACGACAGTGATCTCTCTCTTTACCAAGAAAACACATTAGAAACAAATTTATTCACATAAGCTAGACATGTTATACCACACTAAATGATCACTGGCTGCCATTTTATAAAGCATAACTTCAACTAACTTTCATGATATTGAATACAAATTCTCAACAGATAAGCCCAACTACGATGATGGCATAGAATATTAAATCATTGCCTTTTGTAACTGTAAAATCAGACACTCACTGCGCGCGACCGAGGGTCGTCGGTCGAAGCGATTCTATGTAGAAGCCAACGCGACGAAGTGCGCCCAACTGATCGTTTTTAATGACGATCCCTTCAAGCTGCCACCGTCAATCAACAGACGGCGTTGCGTCACCTATCGCTCACAGGGAGCAGGGTCGAATTCATTGTGCGACGTTCGTATGACCGTCGTACGGCGCAGTGAGTATCGGGCGTATGACAGCAAAATTAATCAAACTATGGTTCGGTTTCGATGATTCGAACAACTGACTTGGTTCTCCGTTTCGATACATTCGACAAGTATTGCCACATGATCTGTAAATTAATCCAAAAATGTCAAAGTGTACTACGCCTATCATCAGTTGACTATAGTAGCCCACTCGTGCGCGGATGGTATCGCCGAAACACCCGTGTTCGTCGTAAATGTTTCGAACGTACTGTCTCTTTGGTTTACGCTCTCCGTCAAACTCTTCTGCAAGACAGATTTGCCAGAGTGAAACGGACGTAATTGAACACATACCGTACGCACGTGCGAATGCTTGCTTTACGAAGCGTTTAGGGAATAACTCGATTTCAGTTAATTATCTTGTGTCATTTAAACTCTCTGGATTGGAGAGAAATATATCTCGTAAACTGCTATTCTCTCACCATTAATTTTGATTGCCCACTGCGTTAGTTTTTAAATCGATAGCCATGCTACTCCGAAGTACACATTTAAAAGCAACTGCTCACTATCCTTATTGAATAACGTAATCATAGTTTTAAATTTAACTATTAATGAGATTCAATTGCATTTCTTTAAAAGAGTAAAGGATATCTGGATTTCGGTTGCTAATTTTTTGAAAAAGATAAACAGCTATTTTTTTTCGGCGCCTTGAGACGATTTTATTGTGGAAGGCGCACTACAAATATCCCACCATTACCATTACCAGATAAACCAGAGCTTTCGGACAAGATATATACTTCGATTAGATTACAATTTTACTCAATAAATTGAACACAATGTCATAATTTGTTGAAAATCTGTTGGGATTTTTAGATGTGTAATTCACCTTGTTGCCCTTTAACATTCTACATGGTTACTATAACAACATGACTGACAGCTAGAAAGGGTTCTCACAGGGCAATTATGCTAGTAGCAGTTACGGCATAAGATGAGAAAAGCAAAGATATTAGCAAATATCACAGGAATTGGAGAAGTGCTTTGTACGACGTAATTCCTCCATAATACAATGATTTAAGATTCTCTATCTAAGACAGAAGGCGATATGTACTAATAAAAAAGTCAGTGGTATAATATATATATATTTTTTTTTCTGGTAATATTTAGCACTTAAAGCGGTGTACTATTGTTTGCGTGCGCGGTACATTCTAATTTTGTTGAATTCGCATTATATTTTAGAGATATTTTTACAACCAAGACGAAAAGCTCTTTCGAAATAGAATGACGGTTTGTTGAAATATGGGTCAATAATTATGACGACTCATGAAACATTCGCTCCAATATCGTCTGCGAACTCATTAAAGTAATACTAGTCTTCTTCACCTCCCGAAATGTCATTCACTAATAATAATGTAGTTAATAATTTCAACGTCAAGTAAACCATAGGAGCTCTTTGTTACAACAAATACAAATATCACTTTAATTTTTCACCACAATGTTTTATTTTCATAGGATTTTTCAAACACTTGGAAAGTAGCATGTTCATGTATAAATTACAATGAATGATATGCCATAATAGTATGTTCCTTTCGGAGTGTAATGAAGACAAATTTCAGTTGGGTAGGAAAGCAGACGGTATTTAAACAAAATTCAAAATCGCTTCTGTCGTTAATACAGACCATTGATCTTCAATTACTTCCTTGATTTACTCTTTTTCGAAGAATGTTATTTTTTCAAATATTTTCTGTGGCCTTTAATATGACATCTTCCATTTTCATTCTATTTCACTTATTTGTCATAATACATTAACATCATAAAAGCATTAGCAGATAGAAATGTCGAGTGGGGGCGTTTTTGCTTAAAAATAAAATGCAGACGATAAAAGGAGAAATAAAATATTCAAAAACGGAAGGTAAAACATTTCAAAGATAAATAAATAATATTTAAAAAATAATAGTATATTGTAGTGAAACAACGCTGTTGCTATACTTTCTGAATTTAAGTTAAACAAAAAGTTTTAAAAGATCTAAAAAGGATTTACTTTAACATTTAGTCCTGTAAACACAATGAAATTAATTTGACAAAAACATGTTAAATTTGTGATGTGATGTCATCATGACCATATACAGTTTTTTTAAAGTACCGGTATGCAACTTACTTAAATTTCCTTTTGTAATTGGATTCTCTTTATGTTTTTATCTCAACACCTCTTTCAATTCATTTATTCTCATATAGCTCTCATGTTTGCTTGTGTGTTTGGAAACATGACCGCAATTATTGAGCGGCTGTATGAAGGGATGGCTAGGTATCATCAGCAGATGGGACTCGTCAAGGAATTCATCAAGTTCCACAATGTACCGAGTCCTCTAAACCAACGACTGAGGGAGTACTTCAAACATGTCTGGACTTCTGCAAAGCAGAGTGATGTTCAAGAAATTGACGAAGTAATCTATTTTATATATTATACAAATAATGAATGTTTATGTGTAAATATCGTAATACAAAATCAACTAATCAAATGAAAAAGATCTAATCCGGTGTGTTATAATATATTATATATAATTATATAAACTTTATCCATTATATAATCGACACAATTGTATAATGGAATGTTACCTGACGCACATTGTGTGTTATGGTTTCACAGGCCTGTAAGATGATTTAGGCGTACTAGAGAAAAATGTTTCTTATCACACATAACTACTTTATTATTATTATTGTCATTATTATTGTAGTTATTACTATTATTGTTGTCATCAGTATTATAGTTATTATTTTTATTATTTATATTATGATATTATAATTGTTACTTATATTATTATTACTACTACCATTGTTGTCATCATTATTATAGTTATTATTTTAGTATAATTATTATGATATTATTATTGTTACTTATAATTATTATTACTGTTACCATTATTATTATTGTCCTTATCATTATCAAATTTATTTATGAATACAGTTTATATTTAATATAGGAGTGTTTGTTTTTAATTGCTAGGTAATGAAAACTTTTCCAGATTTCCTTCAAGCTGATATATCTCTCCACCTGAATCGAAATCTTTTGAAAAATACAGCCGCTTTTAAAGGCGTCAATGTTGGGTGTTTGAGAGCTCTTTCCATGAAGTTTCAAGCCACTCATTTAGCCCCTGGAGATGTGTTAGTCCACATTGGAGATAACCTGGCAACGCTATATTTCATATCTAGAGGATCTTTAGAAATTTTAGATGAGGATGCAGTTGTAGCAATTCTAGGTTGGTATTATACGTCAATTGAAAACTTATAAAAATATTTATCTATAATATTTATCTATCCATCCATCTGTCTATCACACACCCATCCATCGATCCATTTCTCTATCTATCTGTAACCCATACTTATGTCCTTGTATGTTATTTAAAATGTTTATATTACACTCGGGCATCAGCACATTCACCTAACTAGACACATGAATGAAGAAAAGAATACAACACAAAACTGTGTGTAATTGTCATTTATTACTAAAATGACTTAACTCGGGACTCGGGATCAGCAGCTTACTCCCCGTGCAAACACAAATTTACATTACAATCAAATCAATCAATCAATTAGTCAATCAATCAGTCAAATAAACAGTTTTCCTTTTCAGAATAAAAGAGAATAAGATATGTAATTACAAGAAACCAAAATAATGAAGGAACTACGCTAAAGCGGATTTGGGCCCCCTTATGTGTAGTCCACAACTGTAACATTTGCGATAACAGAATATAAATAAATCAAATGATTTACTAATCTTTTAGATAGATGTGAATCCGACTATTTCTTAAATGGAATTAATACCGTTTGTTTGGCTAACTTACAAATCCACTCGTTAAGGCTGGTAACTCACGGCTTACTACAGCTTGGAAAGAGATGTCGTTTGGCATAAGATAACACGTAACTGTTAAGTTTCATTATAAGTTATTTCTTTTACCAGGGTGATTGATGGATTCGTATTCTTTTGGCCACATAGTGCTGTGGGCATTACAATGGTAATCCATCGTATTCGTTGCGTATCATGCACGCAATATACTGACCATAAATACGTACAGTATACAATATTTACATACTGAATGCGTGACTGCAATTAAATATTGCTTTTTATCACATCGTTTTTACCGTTTGCAATTTCTATAATTTGCTCAGCTTCATGACATGTCAGAGTTTGCAAACTATATATCGTCTATAGTGTGTTCCTATGTACTATATATATATATATATAATATATATATATATAAATATATATATAGTATATAGTATATAATAGTTGATTATATCTTATAGAATTTTATATTTACTTTATTCTTTAAAAATCTAAAAGCATACTCCCTGAACTATGCAGGATAATCGATGAATAAAATTCTCTTTCAAGATAGTGGAACTGTAGTAAGCAGTAAAAATGTCCTAGTGTGACAAAATTGGAACCCAGGACCTTATTATTGGAAGGCAAGCATCGGGCCACAAAGCTATCCCC